AGCAAAGGACGCTACTAGGAGCAGGGATGCTACTAGGGGCTCCTGGCCGTACTACTGGGAGCAAAGGACGCTACTAGGAGCAGGGATGCTACTAGGGGGCTCCTGGCCTTACTACTAGGAGCAAAGGACGTTACTAGGAGCAGGGATGCTACTAGGGGCTTCTGGCATCGATACTGGGAGCAAGGACGCTTCGGTCATGTCAGACCATGTTTGATAAACGGACATGGCTGCAAGGTGTGTGTTGGACATTTGAGGCCCACCCTAGAGCAAGCAGCACCATGTGCTGGGTTCCAAGAATTCAGTTGAGTTCTTTGATGCAAACGCAATCGAACACACACACTCACACACAAGCTTGTTCTGCTTGTTTTCCACTGTTTGAGGTGATGCTATATCGTTTGCAACCAAGATGTGCCCTTGAAAAGCTCAATTGCTGTGGTCATGATTCAAGCATCGCTTCTAAGTAGTGAACTTATCTCAATTCAACATGGAATGAAGGATTGATCCGAAATGAACAGCAACTCCGTTTTCATGTGAATCACGCCATGATTGAGCTATCGACCCTGTAAAGGACATGTAAAGTTGTAAAAGGTACACATTGATGCAACGAAGTGAGAGATGCGTGTGAGTGAGCGTGACAGAGTTGCCGCCGTGTGCGAAATGTTACCAGGGCCGGTGCAGGGTGATGCGGAGTGGTTGAGGGGTTGAGGGCAGCATCATTCTTTGGGTGCAGGTGTGCACCGCTTGGCACCACTTGGCGTACTGGTCACACGTGGTTCCATGTTCCAGCAGCAGGTTTCAACCCCCAAAGGGCTACATGAGGTCGGCGGTTTCTTTGGACTCGCAGTTCCAGTGAAGAGCGCATGTGAAGCTTGCAAATGGAAGGACTGTGCGCATATCAAGACTTCGATGCGATCTCAAAGCGCGTCTCATCCATGCACCGCGAATGATGCAACACACTTCGCAAATTATCTCATCACGGTACACGCCACCAGCTGTCCTGGTGAGGCCCCAATGCCGTGCCCAAACATATATAGTAAACTATATATAGTAATACAATGATATAATATATATATATATAGTAAAAAAAAATATATATATATAATGTGAATTTCGAACCTTTCGGTCACTGAGGAACCAGTCTTGACCCACTCAGGTGTGTTCACGTCCGAAGCCACGAGTGTGCGAGGCCGCAAGGGTGGTGTAGGGTGGGTCACCCGTGACCTGAGCCATAGAAGCAGTGAGGACACTGCAGGGCGAGGCGCCCGACCGTTCGTACCAACCTTCAGGTGAGCTGTGAGTGGAAAACGCACGCGGCTGTGCGAGGGAAGGAGGATCTTTTGTTGCTACCTTTGTGTCAATCACATTGGTAGCGGAGCTACCGCTAAAGCTCCAGACAACACCTGACCCTTGTGCTTGGTTGTTGTTGACTGCGTGGTTGAGTCGGTGAATACGTTGTTTGGCCGCAAGGCAGTCGACAGGTTGCACATTGTCTTGGTGGTGTTGTCACAGAGTTGTTGAGCTGCGGTTTCCAGGGAGGAAACAGCCCAATGCCACCGGAAGGTGATTCAGCTGGCTCCAGTTCCTCCACAGGAGGTTTGAGCAATCTCCCATGGAGCCAGGTTCCATCTTTCAAGCCTGGTGAGACGGACCTTCACGGAAAGTAGAGTTCCTGGCATCACTATGGCCTCCAGAACAACTACACCTGCTTGCCCCACGAGTTGCATTGCCAGACTTGACCCAAAGAAGCTGCGTGTTGGAAACTTGGAGGGAGTGAAGGCCATCGTGGAGGCCCTTGGAGGGATTTGGGGAAAATCCCGATTGGAGGACAAGTTTGAAAGGTTTGAGCGTGCAATCTACAGCACGGTCCAAAGAGCCGACGAGACCCATGAGAGCTATCTAGCTCGGCGCGATCATCAATTCGAAGAGTTGCTGAGCATGAAGGTCGGCATGGATGAGTTTCGTGCATACATCTTGCTTCGCAACTCAGCCCTGAGCTCAGAAGACAAGAAGAGACTGATTGCTGAATCGCAGGGTTCACTCGAGTACAGAGAGGTGGTATCCAATCTGAAGCTCCTGGGGAGTCGATTCTTCCATGAGGTCCACTCCAGCGGAAAGCAGAACAATCCAAGGACCAAAACCTATGAGGCCAATGCGTTCATTGCCCAAGAAGCTGATGGTCACGACCAAGCGCCCGACGAGCCCACCTACAATCTCGATGATTGGACCGAGGAAGAATGGATTGAGAGTCTTGCAAATGATGGTGACGAGGACGCCGCCATGATCATGGAGTATGAATCCACAATGTTGGATGCAGTGCAAGACAACGAAGATCTAGCATTGACACAATCATCATACATGGATGCCCGTCGCCGCCTGTCAGAGCGCTTCAAAAGCCGTGGGTTCTGGCCAACAAGTCAGAACAAAGGCAAAGGAAAAGGGAAAGGGGGTGAAAAAGGAAAGCGATCCCCCTACCCCTCAAAGTTTTCTGGCAATAGAAAGAGCCTCCAGCAGAGGATCATGGAGAGCAGCTGCAGGATTTGTGGCCGAAAAGGCCATTGGAAGGCTGAATGCCCGGAACGTGGATCTCAGTCGGTCCCATCGACAGCTGTTGCTCCTACACTGGTGACAGTGAATGATGAGCAGGACGCGCTGCCACTGGAGTTCATGGATTTGCCAGAGCTGACCAAAGAGACGCTCAACGCCACTCAAGAGAATACGAAACAAGTTTTGTGTGTTTGTGAATCAAGGGACACCGGTGTTCTGAGGGGTTTGTGGGAGACCAATGAAGGGGAAATCATTGATTTAGCCCACAAAGGGGAAATGATCGCCGAGTGTGAGAATTTTGATGTCAGGACTAGCTTGCCAGAGAGTGCGTTTGCTAGCACCGCCCAATCACCTGAAGCCAAGTCGATGCATGACACCGAAGCCAGTGCATTCTCGAGCTTTTCAACTCGCGATGCCCTGGGAATCGTAGATACAGGTGCTACTAAGACCGTCGTAGGAAGCGGTTTCGTAGCCAACCTCCTAGCCGCACTAAGGCCAGAGGTTCGGAAGCAGGTCCAAAGGTGTCGTTGTTCAGTGGTTTTTCGGTTTGGGAATCAAGGGACCCTTGAAAGCAAGCATGCGCTCGTTGTCCCAATCGGACCGCTGAAGCTCAAGATTGCCATAGTGCCAGGCCATACACCTTTCCTGCTGTCGAATACTCTGCTCCGAGCCATCGGAGCCACCGTAGATATAGCTGGTGAAGTGATCAAAAGCACTCTCTTGAAGCGCAATATTCCAATTCAGCTGAATGCCAAGGGTTTGTTTTTAGTTGATCTAAATGATCTGATCACACCCACCAGTCAAGATGCCGAAGCTGAACCTGCCGAGACCTTCGCCACTTTGAATTGCAAAAGCTTGCCAAGTGTCTCTGTCCAGAAGCCTGGACAAGTGCAGTCGGAAACCAAGACCATGATGAAACAGAACGTTCAGGCGAGGACAGGTCTTGTAACAAGCAGAATCCAACAGTTCGAAGCCGCCATGCCCGAATCAACAAAGACCCATACGAACACAAAGAAACCAAACGAACGTCCGAGTGTTCGCGGGGGTGAGAAAGTCTCATTCGAATCGGTTCCAGGGTGGGTCCAGCCCGGTGTCATCCGTTTTGGGTTCAAGACCGGATCTGTGCAATCACACACGTGTGACCATCCCATTCGTTCACCTGTGCCGCATCGCTATCATGCCGACCTCCGAAGCAGCCGCTCTGAGTGCCCGCTTGGCACGTGTCATGGGGGAAGCAAAGAAGGAAGAAGCCCTCGATCAGCTCGAAGCCTTCAAGCTCCTATCACTGGACGAAATGGGCCAAGCCAAGATCGATTTCGGATCAGCCCATCTCGGTCGGACCTACTCGGAGATGTGGGAAAAGGAGGGCAAGTATGTGAAGTGGTTCCAGGCAAGTTACCACTCGTCGAGCAAGGTCAACCATCAGAAGTTCATCCACTACATCTCACTGAGGGTGACCTATGCCGAGCACCAACTGGGTCTGAACAGTCAAGACCTGCAGCCATCACCAAGTCAGAGGCCACTTCATCCGGCTCTCAAGAGCAAGGCCAAGGCCAAGCCGATTCAGGAAGTGACCCCGCAGGACTTGGCAGATCTTGCCGAGGACGAATCCTGGGAACCAGTTCAGGAGATCGAGATCCAGCCAGAGATCTACACGGAGATGGCAGCCATGGACACCCGCCTTCAGACCATCGAAGGTGCGACGCAGGAGATCATTGCCCACCTCCGGGCTTCATGAGCTCGTCATGGCTAGACTCCTTCGAGGAAGCTGATATACATGTATCGTCCATGTGCCAAAAAGATGTCAGTCCAGGTAAGACTCACAGTCTGTCCCATAAATTCCATGCACTGGTTCAGCAAATCTCAAAGGAAGCCAGTCTAGCAAGGTGTGATCCAGTGATCTCGAACGGATGCAGCCGTCTACATTTGCTGGAAGTGTTTTGTCACGAGGCCAGTGAACTGACGAAGCAAGTCCAATTGCTGGGCGGCAGAGCCAACCGTTTTGGAAGGGCGCAGGGGGACCTCAGAACCAAGGAGGGGAGAAGTGTTCTGTTTCAAATGGTGTGGAAACAAAGACCCCATCACATATGGTTCAGTCCCACCTGTGGACCATGGAGCGCATGGAACACGTTCAATGAAATGAGATCGATCCAATTGTGTGAACATGTTCAACGAGAGAGAGAGAGAGAGAGAGTCACACTTGTTCGAACTTGCACTAGGAGTAGTCTTGCTTCGCATGTCACGTCAGCTAGGAAACCACACGCACTGGGAGCAGCCACGAAAATCCATCATGTTCAAGACCCCACTCCTGCAAGAGCTGTATTCATATACTCAGGAAGCCAATTTCCGACATGTGTCGTGTAGGCCAGTTGACATGTCCAGAAACGAACAAACTCATACAAAAGGAGATGGCTGTAAGAACGACATCGCAAGAGATGTATGCCTCGTTGCATGGCCGGGTGTGTCGTCGAGATCATGAGCACAGACCCATTGCCGGATCCGTGACAACGCCTCTCGGGAGAATCACCGTCAGTAGCTATACAGAGAACTATCCAAGAAAGTTTGCAAGACAAGTAGCTAAGGTGATGTTGAAAGTGAAACATGAGCCATGGGTTACTGCCCTTGTAACCAGAGGAATAGATCAACCGAGTGAGGAAAGTGCATCCAAGCGGATCCGTGTGAGTTCTCCCATGCAGAAGTCCCAAGGTGGGCGACTGCCACCAACACCCCTGGAGCAATTGTCGAACGAGTGCAAGCGCCGCCGCATTGACGGCAAGACGGTCGAATGGCAGAGTATGAACATGTCACCTCAGAGACAACTAGAAGAAATCATCAAGGACATCCAACCAATGTTGCCAAGAGTAGGGAAGACTTTTATCACAAACCACCAAATCTTGGAGAGGCTTCAAAACATGTTCCCCAAAAAAGAAATCAAGAAAGTTCAAGCATGTAAGGGATCAGATCGAACATTACCACCGCCAAGGGATTTGGTAAAGAATGAGGCCCCATATCGTCGTGCCATCATCGTAAGCCGAGTAGGGGGGGTAATCCAAGTAGAAAAGGACTGGGAATACTGGCAAGACCTGTCTCATCGGCAGCAAGTCCGCCCAGCACATCCCGCAAGAGTCAATATCACAATGTATGCATGTTTGCCCCAATCCAAGTCAGAAGCATCAGGTGATTCGACCGAACAGAATATGAGTCCCGAGGCAACGGGAACAAGCATCGAGCCGCAGGAGGCAACCGTCAGCCTGCCAAGTAGTGACCAAGCACCTGTCACAGAGCTGGATCCGGATCAGACCAAAGAGACAGGAGCGAGTTCGAGTCAACTCCATATGCCGAGCTTTGACCATGGCCCAAAGTTCAAGACCATATCAGCCGAAGAAAAATCGTTCTTGCTGAAATTGCATCAGAACCTAGGACACCCTCATGGTCAAAAGCTGTGTTCAATGCTGCGTCAACAGGGGTACTCACCCCGATTGTGTCAAGCTGCCATGGACCTAAGTTGTTCCGTATGTCAGAATACTAAGGAACCCAAACGTCAAAGACCTTCTACAATCAAACGTGAGCTAGACTTCAACGACTGTATTGGGATAGATGGTGTTGTATACACGAATCTGGCAGAAACCAACTTCCACTTCTATCACATCATCGACTATGGAACAAACTACCAGGTAGCATGTGCAAGCCCAGGTAAAAGCAGTGATGATGCAATAGACAAGGTGCTCAATGGATGGCTCCAATGGGCAGGGGCTCCGATTGAGATCACACAGACTCAGGGACGGAATTGACATCCAAGGAATTTGTCACTTTTCTAGGCCAGTTCAACATCAAAGCAATAGTTACCCCGCCAGGTGCACACTGGCAAATCGGAAAAGTAGAAAGACATGGTGGAATCCTACAGGAAATGCTCAAGAAGTATGAACAGGAACATCCAATAACGTCATACACCAACCTGCAGACAGCACTATCGCACTGCACTTCTGCCAAGAATGCACTGAGCCAGAAACAGGGATACTCTCCAGAAACTCTTGTTTTTGGAAAAGGGTCCAGAATTCCAGCATCAATCTCATCGGACGAGCAATTGCCATCGCACCTCCTGGCAGACGATGACACCCAGGAAGGAATCAGATTTCAAGAAAAGCTGGCATACCGCGAAGCTGCACGACGAGCTTTTCACGGTGCAGACAACAGCTCTGCGTTGCGAAGCGCTGTTCTCCGGCGAAGCTGTCCTCGCCGAGGATCCTATGACAGGGGAACTTGGGTGATGCTATGGAGACAGACTCCAACCCAACGGGGGTGGTTTGGTCCAGCCAGAGTCATCCAACAAGAAGGTCCCCATTGTCTTTGGTGTAATCACGCAGGAAGCTTGGTAAAGATAGCCCCTGAACATGTTCGACCCGTAAGTGCCATGGAAGCCCAGCATATGCCCCGAGCTCTAAGTCCGATCGCAGGGATTGAAGGCGAAGATACACAAAATGCCAACATTCGTGAACAAGCACCCGCAACTCCACCAGAGAGCCAAGAAGATAGCAATATAATCCCACAACACGTAGGAACATGAAACACATCGAATTCGTCAGAGGTCCAGCCAGATCAAGAGCCCTCGATTCCAGAGAGTCAAGTGTCTCCAGCGAGCCGACAAAGCATCGAATTGCCGAGTGACCCCGGCGGTCATCAGGATGCAGCAAGTGTGCCGGTCCCAAGCGAAGCATCTGATCTCGGTGATGAACTCGTATGTGACTCCCTACTAAGTGTAGAAGATCAGGTCAACTGGTGCCAAACCCAAATAGACTCAGAAGCCGTAGGATGGAAAGCTGAATTCCTGTTTCCCCAAGAAACAATGATGAAATGGGATGAAAACTCACCAGCAACAGATCTTATCATGATGACTACCACCACCAAGCGTGACCGAACAGAAGTAAAGATGCACCAATTGTCCACCGAAGAACAAGCGCTCTTCCGTCAAGCAAAGGAAAAGGAGATCACAAATTGGTTAAACACAGGGACGGTGAGTAAAATCTTTCGGGATCAGCTGTGTCCGGAACAGGTAATGCGTTGCCGCTGGATATGCGTATGGAAACCCCTTGATGCTGACGACCTTCAAACCGGATCAACTGAGAACGTCAGACCAGGACCAAAGACCCATAAACCGAAAGCACGTCTAGTAGTCCTTGGATATCAAGATCCCCAGTTAGACAGCATAACCCGGGACTCGCCGACACTTGGAAAGCAATCCAAAAGGCTCTTGTTGCAAGCAATATCATCCATGGGATGGACTCTGAAAAGCT